AAACAGCATCTAAAATAGATGTGTTGGCATGTGATGTTTAACAAGTTTTATTATTTTACCCAATCTTAATGCAACAGGTCCATCCTCTGTTGTTCTCTGCAGAAAGTGGAATGCCTGCTTTCATAACAAAACAGCTTCTGAGTATTTACTGTGTCAGCCTGTTAGGGTAGCTCATCCAGACTGTTGATTGTAATCCTTTGATGAATAATCTCTAAGTGTGAATATGTATACAAGGTAGATTGTACCAAATATTTTCTTCATTTTAACTCCAAAACACACGCTCTCAGTATTATAGCCTGAGGTGTAGCACAGGTGAAGCATGAACTGAAATTTAAGTGAAACATAATAGGAAGGATAAGTACCCGTTTGGTCCCCATGTGTTGCCTGATCTAGTTAAGAGGTGGCGTCCCTGGTGACAGGGAGGCTGGATTAAAATGATCTCTGAGGTCCCTTCCAGCCTAGGCCATTCTATGATTCTACTTGTGAGCAGCACTTGCTGTCATGGTATTATATTACACTTTTAGTCTCTGTATCCCAACTTGTTGAACCTAACCAATCATTAGCAATTGGGCCCATATTTAGGAATGTGACAATCCTTTTTTCCCTGTGGTTACAAAACCAGCTCACTTCACTGGTTTACAGCAATACAGTTCAAAGTGACATGTTGATAGACTGGGAACAGTACAAATTCTTCCCCTGCTTCTATTTGTAAATCAGTTTGTAGTGCCCTGATCAGGTGTTCGAGAGGTACTAGAATAAATACACCAGAAAGTCTATGGAGCGCATGAATAATGTGCACTGCAGAAAACCTCACCTCCCTTTTATTGAACTGTAGGCTGCTTCTAAGTGTGGGCAGTGCAGGAAAGCTGAGTCAGCAAGACTTTGATTTGCAGCATTACTGAGGACACAGTAATTTTATTTGGAGTTGTGGGCGTTTAATAGCCTTGGAAATAGGACTGCAAGAGATGCTATTTAAGGTGTGAGGCATTTCTGTCTGCTCAAGAAAACCTGAAGAAATTTATGCTGTTTGTGTCTAGGGATAAGGAAGAAAAATTGCCTTCTACTTCTTCTTTATAAGTCTGTTTCTCATCTGTTTCTCACTCTGACACACATGAGCAAAATGAGCAGAATTAGAATGCTTGTGATAATAAGATGGTTTGGTAATGTTGGATATAATACTGCAGATCACTGTGTTAAGAGCAGCTGGATACTGAATCAGGTAATTGAACCCTAAGAAGAGGCACACTTTCCTCTTCTAGTTTGATCCTGAACAATTGTCCAAACCTTCCCCAACAAAGGGCTGCAATAGCTAACGTGAAGTAGCCTGAAGTACTATCTAATTATTTTTAGAAGTGGATAGGTTGTAACTCCTCTCATCTTTATGACAAGACAGATATTAATCACTGATATTCAAGTTGGCTGTGCAGTTTAAGCTGAGTTGCTGAATGCATCCAAAGGTCATACTTCTTTTCTTTTTTGTGCTTGGGGTTTTGTTGTTTATTTTGGATAGGAGGTGGGATACTATGGGAGTGTTTTGCAGCCCCTGTGTAAGCCTTGGGGCTGTTCTTTGGTTAAGGCAATATAAATTCTGGATATTCCCCAGAGTATGAAAACATAATGGGATTTTACATGCTTCAGCATAACGTACTTGAGATATAGGACCTTGTTGTGACAGGCTTTATCAGGATGGTAGCAGATACTCATTGGCAGGATCCAGACAACCAGTAGTGCCAGGGGGCACCAGGCCAGCACTATTGTGCTGAATGCCAACTGCGACTTGAATAAACTGTGTAATTAACTGGAAACGTATGCTGGGCTTCTTGATGCACTACAGTTTGCTTTCAGACATTTTTCTGATGGAAACACAGCACACTTGTTGGTGCACTTGTTAGTGGTCATCAGCCAGTTCTTCTAAATGTGGGTAAATTGATGGTGAGAGCTAGTTATAGCTGGAAGAGTATTTTCATTTTGGTAGCCAGTTCCTGGAAACTTTTTTTTCATTTCCTTTTTTTTTTTCTTCTTTTCCCAGAGAGAGTGAGATTATCTGTGATCCAATAAATGAGCCATGAGCAACTTCATTTTCTCCACTTTCTGGTAGGAAATCAGCAGCCAAGGTATTATGAACCAGAACTGAAGAGGCATTTAAGTCCATCCAGTTTGTTCAAAAGCTTTGTTTGCTTCTCTTTACTCCGTCACGAGCCTTTGTAACTTGTATGAAGGAACGCCTGGGCTGGGACAACTGGGCCTGACTGGTTGAGAAACATTCGTTTAAGGTGTATTTAGGGTGTAGATGAATGATGGGAGAAATGATTCGGGTTTTATGTACATCCTTGGGTTTGGAGATGCAGAGCAAAACCAGGTGGGACTTCTGAGTGGATGGGAGCAAGCAGAGCTCAAAGCTACTCAGTGCAACACAGTGCAAAGGGAACCAGCTGAAGTGAGGTCTCGTTCCAGACAGCTGTGGGAAGCCTTTCTTGCATGGGACAGTTTGTTCTCATGTCACTGTAATGCACTGTACTGTCTGTGCTGTGGTCTCAATTTCTAGCGCTACACTGAGCTATGAGAATGTGTCCCATGTTCTTCAAAGCTTGTCTGTAAGTTTTGTACCATCCCCAGGTCCGGAAGATTTCAGTGATTTTGTTACCTTGCATTTCTTCAGTGTGACCATAGAGGACAGCTTCGGTTGTTGCTCAGGACGGAGGCTCTGTTCCTTTCAAGACTTGAGTACCACTTAGCAACTTTACGCTCACTAAGTAATAATAGTCAGCTTTACTCATCACTAGCTTTCAGTAATTAATAGAAAGAGAATACCCAAACTTAAGCAGAGGAGCTTTAATATTTGTAGCTGTCCAGCAGAATGAGGAGACAGCTCTGCTGCTTTCTACTCACAGTAGAAGGTTTACAGTAAGAGCGACTCAAAAATCAGTCTGAAAATGGACTAAGAGCCAAGGCTTGAGATGAGTTCCTAACTGAGGTATGTTGCCTTTAAGACAAAAGGGAATCACACTCTAACCAAGTGTCCTAAGCTGTTATTTTTACACCATTATAGTATTGTTATGTGAGCCATAATGTGTTTCAGCAGGCAAACCAGAAGAACACTCCTCAAACCACAAAATTCAGAAAATATACAGCTCAATTTAATTTTGCTGCATGTTCTGTTGTTCTTGTGCTCTTGGAAGCAGGAAATGATCATTCCATCTTACACACCCTGAACCTTTGGTTCAATAAGGCTCTTTGTGGTCTCCTTAGCAGCTACCTCTTCTGAGCTTGCACTCTCCTTCATTTCATCCCTACTGTGTTCAAGCTTCTCCTTAGGTTTCATCATCCCTGTTGCCTTTTTCTGGCTTATCTATAACCTCTGTGAGTTAGAATGACCCAAACTGTGCACCCTATTCAATAAGTCTGAGCACAGTGGCTTTCAAGTTGTGTGACAATGTGTCCTCTTTTGTTTCCTATTCCTTTTTTGGGTGTTTTTTAGCATTCTGTTGGGATTTGTTAGGATGACCCTGCTGACAAGTGAACTGATAATTTCAAGACCTGCCCAGGTCTCTTTCCTGAGAAAGAGATAATTACAGATTCAGAGCTTGTCACTGTAGATAAATACTTAAATGTAATTTTGTGCCCATACACATTATTTTTCACTTATCAGTGCAAGCATTTTGTCAACTGCTCATTTAACATTATGTGTATCTAAGATGTAATTCTTAGCTGTAAGCTTCAGATGTGGGTATTCTGAGTAATTTTGTAATTTGCTCTGTCAGATAGTTTGTGAGTAGATTGAGCCTCACAATTCCCAAAGCACATCTCTGAACAGGATCCTGCTGGTTAATTTGTGACAAAATGACATTTATTTCCTATCTTTACCCATGAGGGGAATGTCCCTTCTACTCACTGATTGTTTAGTTTCCAGGATTTCATCATCTACCCTTTTGTAACCCATATGCAACCCTTTTTGCTTACCTTTTTGTAACATGTAAACAACTGTTTTCCTTTTAATATGTTGGAAAGCATCCTAGGGACAGATCAATTTTTCGTTTGCCTAGCTTTAAAAGCTCTTTCACTGTCAGTGCTTGAAAATGAACCATATAATCCCTGTAAAAATCGATTAGGTTTGGCTTTTTGTACTCACAATATCTCATATTCTGTATGTCATACGCATATTTTTTTTTTGAAAATGGGTCACTCTGAGACACATCTCGTAGGAACAGGCAACGTCAACTGACAGCTGTTCATCCTGTAGGCAATGTGAGCAACATGAGCACATACAAACATTTAAATGGATATTTTTAATAGTTTAAAATATATATGAATTATGAGAATTATAAGTGGCTTTTTAATTGCTCATACTCTTTAGTCATAACAAATTCAGTGGTTGTTCTCACTCATGTATAGCATAATGGCAGTTGGGACGTTGGTTTTTATTCTCATGACATTTTTAGAACAGAATCTGACCCATACCTCCTTCTAGTTTTTGCTCAATGTTCAGTAAGAAGATGAATGATTTTATGATGGCCTATGAGCTTGTTGATCGTCCTGGTGAGCAGCAGCTGCAAAATCTGATGCAGTTTACTGTGTGACAGAGCTGAATGTCACGCACTAAGTCATTTGAAGAGGAGCCAAGCTAATATTCCTTACTGGGTTACAATGCCCACTAAAATGTTTTGATGGAATTAGGATAGTAGATTCATCATGGAAATTTCGGAACTCCCATTTTGGGCGCACTGAAAATGCATTGTTCAGATGAACAAGCTATTTATACAGGCGTGTTGTATAATACTGGATACTCCTTTAATCCTTTCATAATCCAGACGTTGCCATATGGACAAACTGCACAGATTGATTTTGAGGATGCCTCACTGGATAAACAAATACCCTGCTTCGGTTAACTAGCTGAGCTTTTGTGTTAGTGTATCAGGAAAAAAAATGCTTTTCAGCATAGAGTTTATTTGCAGTGACATATAAAATGAGACTGATGTCAATCAACATGGATTTAAGGCAGCTTGTTTGACAAGCAGCTCATGATGGTTTGGACAGTTATCTGGAGGGCTTTCTTTCAGTACTTCATTACTTGTAGCAAATGCATGGCCTTTCCAATGTGGAATCACCTTGCATGAGAATGCACACAGTTTCCTCTAGTGTTTTGGTTTCAGTGATGTACCTGCGTTCATTTTGCTTAATGCCATAACGGGTTATTTAGTTTTGTTATCAACCTCTGCTTTCTCAATCTTCTGTCCTGTGAGGAACTGCCATATTCCTCCCCTGTAGTTTTCATTCCCCAGGGCGTATACAAAGGCATCCACCGTTGGCACAGTCTTGGCAATAATGGCAGGAATCTGTCAGGAGACATGATATTTATTAATAGGAAAATGCACTGAGGAGCCAATGGGCTGACTTCAGCCTAGCCCTAGTTTCCTTTCACCAAACAAATGCCTGTCTCCAGTGGCAGTGGCTTGCTACCCCCAGAGAGATGAGAGGAAAAGGCAATTTGGTCAGTTGAAGGCCATTGCTCAGGAAATTATAGTCTCCAAGAGAAAGAATTTAGATCAGCGTTATCTGAAACTGCAATATTTCAGTTGAGAGTGAACACAAACATTTAGGAGGAGAGAAGGGTGTGCCATGGACACCCTCTGATGGATACATGGGCTAATATTGCTAACATGTTTTATGGGAGATGCTGAATGCTTAAGTAACGCATTTGGTGACCTTAAACTGGGCTGATTTTTGGAGACTGAATGAAAGTTGAAAGGTTTGATGTGATATTACTGAGTCCCAGAGGTAGTCTTGGAACCAGAACTTATAGAAAAAAGGGAAAAAAACCCAGCATAACGCTGAGTGATCAATTGCAGCTTCCCTGAGGAGAGAGAAGTATTTGAAAAATGAATGAGACAAACAGTCTCTACAAAATTGACAATTTTGAGCTGGTACTGGACTCTGGGGAGGGCATAAAAAGTTCCTACAAGCCATGAAGAGATATAGACCCCTAACTGACAGCTGAAGAAAAAAACCTGGCGTTGTAAATTGTTTCTTGATCAAAGCAATAATGTAATGCCTGTTATATCACTGTGTTTAGATGTTTTGCCTTACAATCTACTCATTATCTGCATTTTAACAAGTAAAACCAATTGTAAAAGAGTGACAGAGAGAGGAGAGTAAGGAGAATGGCCTTGTTTGAATTCCCTCGGGTGGTGCAGACATACCATGCGGTATTTGGGTGAAATGAACATCACGTTGTCAACTGCTGCGTAGAAACATAATAGGCAGTAAGGACCCCAGCAAATGACCAGTGTCTTCAATGGTAAACCAGTATTAAACTGAAAAAGAAGAGCAGTAAATTCCTTTGTGTTTCGCAACCAAACACTGCAACGAGCAGGTGGGACAAATCCTGTGAGACTGTGGTTTGTGTTCAGGGGCAGGAGGGGCTCAAGAGCAGTGTACCCTGTGTCACTGCTGCTTTGCTGTCGATGCCGGAGGTGTGTGAGAACAGCTCCCTTTGTATGGAGAGCTGCCTGTGCAGCAAGCCCAGGAGCCCTGTTCTAGGGACTGGGTGGGGAGTGACAGCTGCTCCTGGACAGAGGTGATAAAGCACCTTTTGGTAGATCAGTTAAATCAGTGTGTCTGCTAGATGTAGAAGACATGGCCAGCACTTGCTGCTGAGGGGGTAAGGAAAGGTGTAAATTCAAAAACAAATGAAAAGGAATGACATTTTGTTGCCTTCTTAAAGGGTCTCGCAACAAATAATCTGTGTGAAACTACAACTATTTCAGTGCCGCAAATGGATGCAGTGCTACCCATGGTGTTCATGGCCAGCTGTTCCCAGGTATCTTATAAATATATTGATGAACAAGGAAGTGAAAATTTAATCCTTAAATTTCCTGCATTGGAACTACCCTGCACAGTTATAGAATATTTTAAGAAAGAAATCACACCCTATTGCATAAACTCACTGGAAAAAAAAAAGATAATAAAGAACACTGTGTGATTTGTACAAGAAATATGTAAAGGTCCCATGTATTTATTCCAGACAGATATAAACGAGTCTGCCTGACTGTCCTTTTACTGATGTAACATCCCTCTTGAGAACTGACTGTCTTTACTGAGTGCAGGGGTCAGACTGTGCCTGCCAGCCAAGCATAGTGCCCCAGACTGTATAGCCTGCACCTGAGGAAACAACTCATCATCACCACATTACATTCCCATAAAACTGCCAAGTCAGAGCAATTCCTTTGTTTCCAGCTCATAAAGATTTCTGAATTTCCTCAGCCAAGTGTAAACACATATATAGGAAGAGCCTTCCCCCTCTATGGGGTGTCTGTGTATTTCCTTGCAGTGCTGCCGTTCTGACTGACTTCCTCTGTGATAAGCTAAGAGCCAGTAGCAAAGCAGGAAATAATGGTTCTTCTGAGCAAAATTTCACAGGATGAATGTTGATAGGCTATTAGAAAATATTCTGCATGCTGTGTTTTTGTTTGTTTGGCTAGAGTTAGACCAGTGCTGGTGGAGGGGAATCCTCAGGGTCACTAGCCTGCCCCCCACTTTGATGGGGACCTGTTTGCAGCACTAGGTCAGGGCAGATGTGTCTGGTCAAGTCTTGAAGTCTTTAAGGATGAGGTTTCCACAAACTTTCTGGTTGGCCCCATCCTGTGTTGTGCTACCCTCCTATCCAAGTAACACTGGGGAGCTAGCACAGAGGGAGCTGAGCCAAAGCCTATGTGAAAGAAATTGGCTTTTTGAGGACTTTGCCCTATTTTGGCAAAGGAGTTGTAGGGGCTGAGGAACCTTTCTTACCTTATACTGCCCACTTTTCTTGAACTTCTGGTGTATGGACTGATAGGCTGTCAGCATGATGAAGCCCGGTATCATGAAATTGAAAATTGACAGAGCAAAAAGGAACGTGATATAGTTTCTGGAGAGGTTGAGGAGGGAAAAAAAGAGGTTGTTAATTCCTCTCTAAGGCACCTCTGTAAGCTTGCTGTAAGTATTCATTAACCTGTATTTTTAAAAGCACCAGAACCAGTTGTCAACGTGCTTTAGGTGCAACATTTACTGGAGGCTGGTTGTGTGTGGGATTGGGATGGATAATACTGGAGAAAATTACAACAGGTATTTGGTTTCTAAAGCCAGGCACCCCTACTCAGACATCTGTGCTAGGCTGTATAAAACCAAAACCATTCTGAAGGAGTTTCAGGTCCCAAACCCAGAAAAGATGGGCAAGGGAGTAGCAGAAACATGAGCACCAGGCTCTGCTACAGAGAAAGCTGTTACTGTTCCCACGTACTGCCACGTGAGTCAAGGCAGCTCAGGCCATGCCTGCCTTGCCCCAGCCACTGGGAAGGGAGATCTGCCCCAGCAGCAACGATGGGGTGGAACTGGGGGTTTTGGTGTGCTGCTAGGGCCACCCGCAGCTTCACCCCCCTCACATGGGAGCTGGCCCCTGCCCTCACCTGTCCCCTTTGCTGTAGTCCAGAGTGCAGCAGGTTCGGAGGGGTTCGTAATCGTATTCCCCCCAGCCCAGCAAGGGCATTACAGCCCAAAAAGCAGCAAAGAGCCACACAAACACCATCATGGAGAAGGCTGTGCTCCACTGCATCTTGCTCCCTGCGGGAAGAGAAAAAGGGTTTCTGTGCTTGGAGTGAAATTAGTGGACAAAGCTGGCTGGCTCTGTGGGGCCAGAGCCAAGTTCCCTGGCCCCTGGGCCTCAGGCAGAAACAAGCCATGGTCTGTGTTTTGTAGCCTGAAGCTGACCTGAGTCTGGAGGAATCAACCTTGCATAAAATATGAAGGAAGCTTTTAGGCTTTGTGAAACAGCAAATTGTACTTCCCTTTTGTATGCTTTACTTAGACAAATACTGCATTACTGCTCCGCTTGGTACCACACTGGAGATAAAGCTGCTGTTACAAACATTATATTCTTGTGTTTTGAGATTGTGTTTAAATACTCAGGCAGAGAGTAGAAGGAACAGGGCAGTGCAAAGCTAATCAGCTAAAGCCCCACTGCAAGGTGTGGGTCAGATCAGAAATATGACTCTACGCACACTCCCCAGCTGCTGCCTACTTCCTTCTGGCACTGCCAGGAGTGCAGGGCATGTGTGGATTTTAAATATAAGCTTTTCTAAAATCACTGCTCATCAATATATATGTGAATGTATATACGCAAGCTGACAACAGGTCTTGTTCTAAAAATACTCCTAGTCAAATTATTTTGCCCTAAAGACCATTACTGAGCCTGGAACAGGACATGTGAATCTCGGTGTTAGCAATTTTTTTCTAACTTTATAATAAAAATGATCAGTTGTACCTATCTTATCCAGTTCTATAAAATACCACAAGAATAAGTCAATGAATTAAATGAAAGATTGGAAACTTCAGAAGACACAGGAAGTATTTCTTCATGGAGGAGGCAGACAGGCTTCCCCACTGCTGAAGCACATTGTGTTAGCCTCCCCGCTTGCGTGCAGAAAGACCTGGATAATTTTGTTATTGAGGTTAATGTCTGTAACCCTGCTGGTGCTGAATAGCTTGTGATGCCAGCTGCACCAACAAGGAGCATAGTGACTTCTCCCACTACTCCTTTCTAATCAAATCTCCCATTAGGGAGATGTAATGATGTAATTTTCACTGAGTCTGGGAAGTGATCTTTTCATCTGCCTTTAATGGCAGCATCATGACAGCAGGCCAGCAAGATTCAGGCCAATTCTGACCCGTCTCAGAAAGGTGAAGGACTGGAGGTGAAATGCATAATGTGACACCCTGCCACGGGATCAGACGTGTCTGACTCGTGGGTGAAGGGCATGTAGGGGCCTCACGGGCTAGAGACCCCATGAGGCAGTAGCTGCAGGAAGGACCGCAAACTCTAAAGTAGCTATTTTGTGTTGTACTATCCTTGTATATTTTAAAGACGGATAACAAAGTAGGTATGTTCTTGAAATCGCCCTTTTACAAGAATGATGATTCTACCTCTGTCCTTTTCCTTATCTTCCAAAAGTTCTTCAGGGAAAAGAATAGAGTTTGAATTGCATTAAAAATCAACTTGGAAAAAATGTTTGGTGCAGGTGTTCAAAAATTAGTTATGGGAAAAGACAGTTGTTCACATTGCAGTGAAATACCAATAAAAAAGTAAAGAAAATCCTTTTTAGTAAATAATCCATCTTTTAATATGGTACTTACAAAAAATTTATTGATTATTTTTAGTAATTTAAAACATTATTTTTTAGAAATTACTAATGCAGAATTATTAATAATGACTAATATTTGTCTTTTGTATAAAAGAGATACTTTGGATGCAAGGGCTCAAGTGTTGCTTAGTAGTACTGGCATGATTCTAGAATGACATAGATGAAAATAAAGACCAAAGAAGCAATGTAGCCTAAATTGTCTTTCAGAACTGCATCCTATTTATGTACATGCTTAAACAAGCATGTTAGAGTTGTTACTCATCCAAGGTTTCCATTTCCATTTGTGTTCTACATAGCGGTTCTTGTAGCTTGGCTTTACACAACCGTAACTTGAAATTCAATCAGGACAAAGCTTATTACATAAGCTGTCAGGTTCGTTTTGTGTTTTACATATTCTAGCAACATTTTAAAGGCATTATCAAAAGCAACTGCACTGAAACCTGGATATGAATTTTGTTTCTTTTAAACCAAGCTCATGCCAAAAGTAGCTTTTTTGCTTTGGGAATATGATTTTGTAAGTGGTAAGCCTTCCTGACAGTCTGACAAAAACCCAAACTAAATAGCTAGGGTTTTTTTGTTTCTCAGCGATTCCTATAAAATAGTGAATAACAATTATTTTTCATGGTATCTTGAGACAAAAACTTTGCTCTCTTTCCACCTCATCCTTTCACTTCAAGGACTACTGCAACATTGTGAAGGTCTCAAAAACCGATGGGCCGTGGTGGAGGCACCCCAGTGCTACTGGCTCCCAGCCACACGCTGACACCTTCTGCATCTTTGCATGTAAGAAAAAGGTCCTTGCATTGACTAATTTTGCCCTTGACTGCTTGGACAGCGTTGGAGGCATGCTGAAGGCCGCCCCTGGCACCCATAGTGACAGAGGGTGGCTGATCCAGCTCCTGCATGCGTGTGTGGGGGAGTTGGTAGAAATCTCACCTTCCCTGCTGTTGGCTTGCTCGAAACAGCAGGAGATGCTCTTGCTCCACTGGTTGCCACTACCTCTGGGGTCTTTCACGGCACCCTGTCTCTTGGTGCCACATCTTTCCTCTGGCCCTGTGTGCTACCAGCCCCAGCTGTGCATGCAGGCAACAAGAAAGCTGTGAGGCTGAAACGGCTTTCAAATATGTCTTATCAAGAGTGTTGTTAATGAAGATTTCTATGTTTAGTTTTTTAACAGGAAAAGTGTGGCTCACAGTACCCTCTAGGGGAACCTCCACTACACTTTTGGCTGGCAGTGCCCTGCCTCGGTTCCCCCTCTGCCATGGCTGGGCTGTGGGGAGCAATGCGAGACAGCACTTCTTAATTTGCATTAGCTTTCTTTTTTCCTTTATTTTCCTAATTTTTTTGCTTTAATGCTTGTGCCTCTTCTAAAAAAACTGTAAGAAAAAGTTTAGTTTAGTTACTTTCCCATAGATGTTAGAGAACGTCATTTTTTCTTATTAACTGTAGAATAAAAGGACCATGCAATAATGGAGTCTGACAGCAGGCATGCCTCAACAGCTTCCATTTGGAAAGTTCATCTTTGGAGATGAGTTCGTATGTTCTCTCTCCTCACATTTAAGGAGTCCTATTCTGGATGGCAAAATGATATTAATGGTGAAATAGTCCTGGTGAAATCAGGTTCTGCTTGACCCTCCAGAAAACATTTAATGACATATCAGAAGTAGCTAGAAATATATGTAAAATTAAACAAATTTGATGTTATTTTAGTTTTACCTAGAAAAAATACTTTCAGCACAAGAACAGTGAAAGAATCATGCTTTGTTCACATGGCAAAAAATGTTCTCCTCCCAGAGGGTCAACTTGAAGAGAGCAAATTGAGATCAGTTCAGTTGTTTTTCAGTGCAGAGCAGATAATTTCCTTACCCTAAATGCCTTTTTTGGATGGGTAAAATTTAATGTAATAGCCATATAGGTCCTAATTCAGCTAAATGTGTATGTATGAAGTTCAGCATATGCTTAAGGATATAATTCCTAATTAGAGCCCAGTGCTGGCAATTTGGTCCTGTTAAGTTTAATCACTGCTGTGCCTGGCTTTGTCTCCTTGAAAAGCAAGAGGGAAGCTTCTCTTTTCCGTACTGTGAAATATTAATACAGATGATTTTAAATGGATTCTGTAATTGCTTTGTAACAGAAAGAGGTCACTCTCATAAACAAAAAAACCTCATCGTTTAAAGATTACTAAAATTGTGATATCAAAACTTTAATTTTAGGAAGTGCTAGATAAAGCGTGGAACCTTAATCCTTTTGATTACACTGGCCAGTTTTTAATGACTTAATCATAAACTATTTATCCATCTTTCTGAGGGCATTTATAAGTTTGGATTTGTTTCAAGATTTATAAATTGCTCAAACAATTAGCTGATTTTCACAGAAAGAACAAAAAAAGCATCTCTGACATGATGGCTTCCTTTCAGTTAGATTTTAGGCAGGTGTTCAAAAGGAAATTTTCAAACAAAAGGTCAAAAGGATTTTCTAGGATGCAGGGGAAGAAAAAGTCCCTTTTCTTCACTCTTGCAAATGGTTAAGTTGTAATAGCTGATACTTTCCAGAATTATATGGCTTGTAACAGACTTCACATCATGCACCACTTAAAATTGGCAAAATTTGTCAAAGACAAAACTATCTGAAAGTCTTATAAGGGAAAATACATATTAGACATAAGTAAAATAGGTGTTGGTACCTACTTCATCTGCAGTGCAAAAAGCACCAATTACTGATGCTCACAAGTATTCATTTTTGTAGGAATGAGAAAGCTGCATTGCATAAGAGCTTCTTTTGTGCACGTCATTAGAAAAAGCTCTTTAACCTAATAAAGGGATTTTTTTACTCCATTAATTTTTTTTGCTGTGTTTTTCCACAATCATTAAGCTGTCTCTAGACAACCAGTGGCATTTTGTCAAGGGAAACTGATGCATGTGCAAGACTAGATGAAGGAAGTGTGGCATGGCAGGGTGGCTGCAGTGTGACAGGAGGTGAGGGTTTGCTCCTAATTTGACAGAGCTGACAGCTGCGATTTGAGCAAATGGTAGATTGCTAATATTTGAAACTTTAAAACAACCTAGATTTCCTTGAATGTTAAGGATTAGATGAAGCTCACTGCAATTCTACTTCTTGAAATTGAATGCTGCTGTGAAATCCCTCCTGATTTTGTTCGTCTTTTCTCTTGTAATATTGAGAAAAGTACTGACATAAATCACTTCAGGTTTTCCATTTCCTTCTAATTCTTAAAGACTCGTGTAAAATCTTTTAGATTTTATAATGAAAAAAACTGACTATGATCCTTCCCCTCTCCACAAACAGCTGATGGCTGCTACCTCTTCACCAAAATGAACCGCACGTTAGATTGAAATGCCTTCAGCAAAGTCGTCTCTGTGGTAGGTGGCTGCCTGCTTTCAGGTCGCTGACCCCCAGGCTCTCCACCAGCTGCCCCCTGCCTGCCTGATCCCAGTTCCAGTGAGACCTCTCAGGCTGCTGCTTTTCCTTCTTCCCTCGCTATGTTAAGAACATAATTCAGGACGTCTTCCTCATTTGAATGGCGGAAGAACTAACAATGTCTTCCTTGATATAAAATGTCATCCTCTGTCCTGAACACTTGGCTATTGATAGACAGCTTCCTCAGAGTTTGTCCTTTCCTCTTTCACTCTCAGCCACTAACATAAGACTGCTTCTGTGTTCTCCTTTTCCCCTCAACAATCAAATTTTGAAATACAGTAATCTGTTTTCCCATCTTGCTAGTAATTGAGCTGTTCAGGCTCCCTTACGTTTTATTCTTTATTCTACTGTAGCTCCCTCCTCCTTGCTGTGGAAGTAGCATCTCATAGGCCCCAAATTTGTATTTAGGGGATGAAAAGAGAGTTGCCCAGCATGGTTGCCTGGGACGACAAAAGCAAGAAAGGGGAGAGCAGAATGTCTTGAAACTGTAGCTTCTCTATCATGTGTGGTGGTCATGCTATTTTCTTCTGTATGCCAAACAATACCAAGCTGCTCTCTGATGAGTGACGTGTCTAGTTATGAATACAGTTTAAAGGCTAGCAGTCTGTCACTGAGGCTTGTGATGACTTCCAAATCTATAAACCTGGTTAATTTTCAGGACATTGGTCCTGTTTGTGTTATTAGCATCCAGAATGTCTGAAAACTCCCCTTTTCCCCTCATCATTATAGTAATCTCTCACATTCTCTCATCTAATCAAGTATCAAGCTGACGGAATGCCACAACAAAGGTTTTTCTCAGGTAGCTGTTAGAACATAAAAATTTTTGGGATGATGTAGTTGAGTCTCAAAGTACTACCAGTTCCTGTGGAATGAAGATAAAAGGTTGATAGCTTTGTTTTTGAGGCAAGGGTATTCTGTACTTTCTGTGCAGGCACGCAACTCGCACCGGTATCAACAGAAGTTTAATGTATGGATTGAGAACACAGGATAGCCTGTAGGCTTTGGTAGATCAGATCTATGAAATATGAATTAATCTTCCTTGCAATCAGCATGTGAAAGATGAAACTAGAAGTGGCTGGTTTTACTGAAACAGCCAGAGCATGAGCTTTAAAATGCTTCTGGGCTTTTGTTTTTGTTTTGTTGTTCAAAATGTCCAGTAATCGCAGCAACATTTGGCCATCAGTAAGTAACAATTTGAGCAAAGTAAAGAAGCTTGTGCCCTTAGGGTGTCTCTGCTTGTGTTCTTAATGTAGTATGCTCTTGACTGGAGGAGTGCGTGACACAAAAGCATTAAAGTCAGTGTTGCAGAGAGGAAAATGTCTTTCCAAAGACATGCTTGCTTTCAGACTCTCTCTCTTGTAAAATACAGATGTTACTCTTCTAGCTCCAAGCACAATTCAGTGTCCAAAGGGTGTTAGTATGAGTTTAGCTTACAGCCTGTACTATTTGGGGCCTATGTCTGGACGCAGAGGAAAAAAAACATTTCCTTGCCCAAGCTGAATTCTTGACAAAAGTTGCAGAACAAAAAGTTGGCAACTTTTCCACCCTCAACGGGATCATCAGATTGAACATGTTTGCTGTGTGCTCTGGGTGTGTTTTACCACTTGCTGCTTTAATCATACAGAGGCTGTGCCTGAGAGACTGTGCGGATTCTATCAGTGGAGGGGATTGAAGTGCTGCAGCTCAGTGGTTTCTTCCCCAGCTAACCCTTACACTTTCATTTACAAAATAGTTTATGAAGCAGTCTGAGAAACCTATGCCTTAGTGCAAGAAAGGGAGGGCTGCATTGTTTATTAGCGTTGCCAAAAGGGCGCTTTTTTGGGGGAGTGGTGTGGTCGCATGAGGTGCTCTGGACTCCTCACTCCTCTGGAAAGAGCCTGGCTTTATCAGGAAACATGATATGCATAAGAGGAACTCATCCGTTTCTCCCAGGTGGCAGAGCTCCCACATGACTGCTAAAATGGCCAAATTGTGGATTTGGGCATTCCTAGCATTACGGAATACTAGGATGTCCTTTCAGAATAAGTTTGTATTTCACATCATGTGTCTTTCTCTTTTCCTAATGAGGGCTATGAGGTTGTACACCCTGTGTTTGTCACAGTCCTTGCCTAGTAACTTTTGAAAGCATTGGCTACTTAAAAGTAAACTGGAGGGGGACATGGGGACTGACAGGTACTAAGTTGTTGCATTTAATATGAAAACAGGTGTCTGGGGAGAGATGAGGCCCCGTGAAAACACTCATAGCTAAGTCAGCACAAGTCTATCTTATTAGACAAAATGGAACATCACCCCTGTGCATGTTATTAAGAAGAAAGCAGGTTTTGACAGCTCCACTGCTCGTAAGGCTGCTAATCTGTTTTACAGCAGATGATAATGCCCCTTGTTGTGCTTCCTGATTTCTTTGCTAAGAGAGTACAGTCATTCACCTGTTCTCCCCATCTGCAGTGGTGGCTGGAGCACAGCTGGAGCCCTAGCACAAATCCTAGCAGTCTGCAGATGCCAAATCCAGCTTGGCACCCAAATTCAGCAGAAATTTCCACTCATGTTACACGAATGCACAAATGCAATACCAGTAAAGTTTTGAAGGAAGTTTGTGATAAAAGACAGAGCATATCTGTCTCTACAAATCCATGTATTTGATGACCCTGTCAACCTCTATTTCTCACCTAAATCAAAAATATGCTTTCATAAATAAGTCCACAAAAAAGAAAAATTTATTTTTCCTGGGTTGATCTCCCTGTTTGATATTAGATTTTCATTGAATTCAGCTCAGGTGTCAGAGATAGTTAAAAACTAAATTGGAAAACAAACCCACACCAAAAACTGGCCTTTACTAAGAGAAGAAGAATAACACATCCGTCCTCTCATCAGTACTTAAAAATAGTTCTGCCACTTTCAGTGAAACTTGCAGATAATTTTTTCCTTGTATGAAAACAAGTGTACCAAGTTCCAGTGTTCATAAAGGGGCCTGGAACATAGCACAAACCCCACAAATGGCTCTTGGACCTCAGAGCTCCTTGTGTCACACAGTGAGGCTGCTGAGCTCTGTCTGCCCAATCGCACTTCTGCAGAAGGACTGTGCTGTGGGCTCTGTTCCAGGTGCTGTCTCTGCAGAGGCAGCTCTAGCTACACTGAATTTATCTGTAATTAGCAAGCTTTGCATGGGCATAAAGATCTATCTGGTATGCAGCAGGGTGTTGGATGGAAGCCCAAGGTGCATAGATTTTTCTTCAATATGAAGAGTTGGGTTTCGTTTGGGGTTACTTATGGAGAAAATGAAAGCATGGCAAGAGGGTTGCAACTTGGATATGATCTGGAAGAGGAAATAGCTCCTGAAGGTCGTTGCTTAGTGCCCCCTATATAGGAAGAGGTCTTTTGGAGAGATTGTTTATATTTGCTCTATCTCTAGTGTCTAAGATGAGTGAACTTACCTATAAGATACATCAATAATAAATTCTCTGAAATCTAAACAAGCTGCCTTATAGCAGGATCTGGGTAAGGTTGCTATGTAAATTGTAGCTCTTACTTGTACAGTAGTGATAATACCGGTCCCAGGCAACTGCTGCGCTGGAGCTAATGCTGGCTAGTGCTGTCAAGAAGCCCTGGAATCCATGAATTTGGCAGCCATCAGAGCCGTAAGGCCAGTATCTGTCAACAAACAAGGCATATGCTAAGAAAATGATAGAAAAAGGTGAAGGCATGTTTGGAAATTGTATTAACGGAGAAGGTAAAATGATAGCCTGCGTCTGTGCTTTGTAAGTCTGACAAACCTTGTGAAAGATGTTACTGTGGTTGCCTTTTGGTATCTGCCAACATTTATCTTGCTGAGGTGTCTGATACAGTAGAACAGCTATTTTCACACTTAATATGAAAAAGAAAATATAACCCTACACTTATGTATTGGAGAATGTTAATTTGAAATATGCATTTCCTCCAATTCTCTATATCTTCAAAATTTGCACCCACTGGGAGCAGCGAATTTGTCAACATGTGAAAGTGGCAAATGAGTAATAACCTTTTGGAAAGTCAGTGTTCACCACACAACACAGTACAAAAGCTCACAACAAATAAAACCGTCCCTGACAGCAGGCCCAAGCCTCCAAATCACTTTGGAGATATAGAATGAAAAGAACCATGAGATGGTCTCATGTAGCAGACATGAGCTGACATGTGCCTTCAATATCCTGGTCACTCACGGCAGGGAGTCTTGGCTTTTTTCTGTGCTCATCTAACCTGACTGTTCACACATAAGTCTGTCTGTGAGATGGAAATCTCCAGCGATGTCATTTACCATGTTTCTACATTGGTACAATTCCTGAGGAGGCTAGCCCTGGAAGTCCCTTTGAACAGGAGATAGCTAGTTGCTTGGGACACTGGGGAATTTCTGCTCCCACTTAAAAGAAAAAGTCCTACATGTTAAAACCAAGCTCGTTTTGATGTATTGACCTTAGCTTCTCAGTTTTCATTCAGTAAAGTTACAGACTTCAGTGAGACACAGGTGTCTGAAACTAGAGTGACCTATACAGGAGTTAAAATAGTGTTGAGTAAGGACTCATTGGAGCTTATTATTGACTCATTATTGTTTTTAAAAAAAGTTTTTTTATTCCTTAAGAGAGAATAAAATTGTGATATTCTGGCTTGAAATTTATTTCTGTTCTCTATTGAAGATATTCCCAGGGTTTAAAAATATGCTACTTCGGTAGAATTATTCATCAGCTGTTTTATAGGGTGATGGAGATTTTTGAGGATTGTGATTTATTTGTTGTAATTATTCACCAAAATGCTTGATGTTGTTTCTGTTCTCTGATTGAACAATTGATGTGTGAAAATGTGGAAGATCAAATATGTCATAACTGATGTGAACTCCCTGCTAACAGATCTGCATTTTCCTTTTCTACAAGCTGCTCATATACGTACTTTAATGGAAAGGTTCATAAAAAAATTGAAAGGTTTGCAGGTACATTTGAGGTTGTCCTAGTTTGAGAGCATAAGGATAAAAACTTTCTGGGGCTGCCTAGACCCCGTGGCAATCACAGTGGGGTAGTGGGAGCAGCTGTGCCTATGGGAGAGGAGAGGCTGAGTCAGGTGACCCAAATGGACCAATCACGGTGTTCCTTCCCATGGTGCTCAGTATATAAGGGCCCCTGAGAAGAGCCCTGAGAATGTTGGTGCCTGTTGTGCTGGAAGCATTGCCATTGGCTCTTCACTAGCTTTCCCTGTGCTGCTGGTATTCCTGCCTCCTGTTTTCATGCTGCAGAGGAGCACTTTTTGTTTCAACAGGTTGACTTTCCCCTACCTCCCTGGGTGGGAGTGGCACACCTGCTTTTTTTTTTTTTTTGACTATCATTAGGACTCTGGACTCAGGCATTCCCATCTGCTGCTGAGTCCAGCCTAGAACCTTTTCCACTTGCGACGTAGTTGCCATCCAGAAGGTGGGGGTTCTGTATTAAAATATTCTCTTGTATCTTTGAGTATGTTTGTATACTTGTATAATATCTTTATGTAGTTTAACATCATTATTATTGTTAATATTACTTTTCTATTTAACTGGTTTAAGGCTTTTTATTCTTTTTCAACTTCAAAGTCTCTCTGCCTGGTTCCCCTGTTATCCTCCCCTGGGAGGGTGGTGGTGGGGATCACAGAGAGTGTCTGTCAAAGTTTAGTGGCTGGCCCAGACTTAAATTTTTACAGGGGTCAATCTAGACATTTAGTCAGATGAAAATGTACTACTATTCTGATAGTCAAGTAGTTTGTACTATGATCGCTGGTAAAGCTGTCTGGTTAAATGTCTTCTAGAATCACTTTTATAATATATCAATGATTATATGCAGTCAAGTCTATCTTTTTAATTTGCCTATTATAAAGTCTCATCTCGCTGTTTCAGACTGAGAGAATGAGAAGATGGTTAGATGGTATGCTAGAAAGAGAGTAAATTAATTAATTTGATCTTTTAGACCTTAAGCTGTTGATTTTCATGTGGTTCTTCTAAGCATGCTTTAGAAAAGAGAAGATATACCTTAGGAAGCTGGAAAAGGCAGCGATGAATGCATTGACGCAGATCCCACAGTCAGCTAGTGCAATGCTGAGAACCAGCAGGTTGCTGGGTGTTCGGAGTTCTTTGATTTTCCGGAAAGAAATAATTGTCAAGCCATTCAGACAGAAACCAAGCAGGGCTGAAATACAGAATTGTTTCATGTGATTCAACTGGGAGTGGAAAATATCTGCATAATACTGCTGTTTTCTTTAATAATAATTTTCTTTAATAATTCTTTAATAATCACTGTGGAAACTGATGCACAGGGAATATATCTGTAGTGGTCACAGTCTGCACACAAGATACAAAGCCTTTCAGGAGAGAAGTCATAAGTGACAGCTGAAGGCAATGCTTCAAACTGCATCAAGCATGTGGCCAATCATGCAGGCCAGGACTGGTTTAATCTTTTTTGTAATTCTGCCTTTTATTTTAATAGAGAAACCCAATTGTCAGCCCCTATCTGGAGATGTGGGTCAGAGCAAGGGACATGAGGAGGAGGCAGTTTCAGAGGGGCACATGCTGCTTGTGCACATATCTCCAGGGCTGCCTTTGGTAGAGAAATGAGTTGTATTTAACATAAATAGTAACAGTCTTGCGTTTAAGCGTAGAAATCCCTCAGCCATGTTTCAACCAGGCTGCCTCTCTTTGGGCTTCTGTCTAAGGTTAACCTAGACAGTGCTTGAATCACACCAGCTCAATCTTATTACTGCCCTTCTGTATGCATGGAAAGGAATAATTTTATTATAAAGAGCAGTCACTGCTTTTTTTTTTTAAATCACTGCTTTTTTTAAAAAATCTAAGAGATTTAAAAAAACAAAGTTAATGTTGGTCCTCAGAGAGGACCATCCAAGAAACCCTAGATATTCACCCAGCACAAAGCTGTGCCACCCTGAAACCTATTCTTCAGTGGTTTAAACTCAAGCTTTGTCCCTGAAGTTCTTTTCAAGACTGCCTAAATTATTTTAGCTCTGATGAGGCTCTGACTCAACATCCCACCTCTCAGCTTCAGTTAGATGAGAGGCAGTGTGTCTTTTTCTTTGTGTTCTTGGAAAGAGAAATAACATACCACAGAAAAAATCCATATCCCCTGATTCTGTAGTGTAGTTACTTATGCTCATTGTCTTAATTCTGCAGTTACATAAGATGGATGATTTTGTCTAGTTAGAAACCCTTCTCCTGCCTTAATTGATGTCATGGCTGATGTCATAAGCATAGTAATAGTTGATGCGCGTCTTTCATTGCGCAACGCATAACAAAATGTTTGGAGCCATTTGAGATCTGCTGTTCTTATTTCCTCCCTGCCAGCTTACCTCCCACCCACAAGGTAAAACTGTTGCCAACTCTCCCAAATGCAGTGAAGCCTTTAGGAGAGGTAAGTTGTGACCATGTTTAGAGTAGAGCTGAAGAGTTATTACTATATCAACTTTTATCTTTCTCTTGTATTTGGAAGCTCCAGGCTTCACCCCACTCTACTTTCTTGAAGGCCAGCATGTGTGTATAACTAGAGAGCTTACTAAAACTAAAAAATAATAATAAAATTTTTGAGGTTTCATTTTCAGAACACACAAATGTTTCCAGTTAATAAAGTGAACGCAAGGTTTTCTACTTCCCCAGAACTTTTTTGCAAACTGCATTTAGAAGCTGCAGCAAAAAAGGTCTTCATTGCCTTTCTCCCACGATCCTTGAGAAAGAGAAATAATCTTTAATTACTTAATTTGATCTACTGAGTAGAAGCTTTTTCTTCTCTCCCTCTCTTCCAAGGAAGAGTTTCTGACACAGCTTTTCCAGCTGCCGTTTGCAGGCAAATATGATGCTGCCTTCCAGCTGAGTGCACCTTCAGGGAGATGGTGAGCATCCTTCTGTTTCCCATGCTCCATGTCCATGGGGTGAGCTGATGAGCGTTTATCCCATTGTGATGCTACTTCTTCTCCTCCTCCACTGTTGAACCCCATGATCCCTGCATACCCAGCTAAGCAGCACAATGCGATAATGAGGTCCCAGGCCCTTACTGGGATGTAGCCCAGAAGAGACACCAGTGGCTGATACCAAAATAATCCTAGCTACAAGCTTGTCCTTTGCTAGCTTCCAGGTAGATACAAATTTATAGGTTTTGGTGCAGTCTGTCCACAAAGTGGCACATGCCTTAAGAAAAGCCCACATTGGCTAGATTAAATGAATACAGTCTCCTACCTCAAATTTTGCTTCTTAAAACTGTGAGAACATTTGAATCTCATGCAACTATGTTTCTGTTTGTTTTTACCCACTGCTTTTTCATCTTAACCCACGGGCCTCTTTTTACATCTTCCCTCTCGCCTGTCAATCTAAAAGGGGAATGATAGATCGGCTTTGGTGAGTGCCTGGCCTCTGGCCGCCAGGGCCAACCCCCCCACACCCCCCCAGCCACTAACTGCAGTGATCTGGATGTATTCTAACAGTTAACAAGCTATTAGGACCTACCATCTTTGATTATAAGACACTCACCACAGCCTGCAAAACAAGCAGCCCAATTTTATTGAAAGATTATCACTCATTTCAGCATCCTTCCCCCAAGGAAGATAAAATTATCTTTAAAACTCAACATCAAAGTCTTGCATCCTGAATTCTTGGTAAGAAAGCTAAGTAGCAAGTACTTCCCCGCCATAGGGCAGCTGTGTATACAGAGCAGATCTTCACTGCAAACAGCTTGCAGCTCACCTTGATTTTCTCACCAGAAGTACTGGTGATGTAGCCACAGTAACCACGATGGGTCTAGGTCAGCGTGCCACAAATGCTGCTCTTTGCTTCAATTTCCAGTACTTCTCACCAGAAGTACTGGTGATGTAGCCACAGTAACCACGATGGGTCTAGGTCAGCGTGCCACAAATGCTGCTCTTTGCTTCAATTTCCCTTCCTGCTCCTACCAGGAATAATAGGGGCAAAAAACTTATCGTTGCTGAGGTCCCGCACCGAGCTTACCTTCTACCAGCAGGGCAGTGCCGATGGCAAACACCTCTAATTCAGTGAAGCCTTCAGGGAGAGGGTGTGCAGTGACCATACTTTCGATAAAAACGCCAACAGATTTAACCTCTGCCCTCTGCTGTAGCTGTAGGGCTGCCTTTTCTCAGGATTCCCTTTCTTCCACTAGCCCCAGGCTTCTTAAAGGAGCAGCTCACGTGCAGACACATGCTCATTATTATATAAAAGCTTTGGGGTTTTTACTCCCACCCCTACAATCCCTGCAAGAATGTTATTAGCGATGGGACTTGGAGCAACCCGCGCTCCCCCTTCCCCTGCAAATCGTATTTCAGACACCAGCAAAATGAAAGCATTCATTGCGATTACAACAAGTTCTTTGTTGTAGAGACAAGATTAAGAACCCTGTCCAGTTAATGCTTCAACACTGGAAAAGAATTAAAGGTTGTGGAATGAAGGAAATATGTAATATATAATTGGGGAGTGACCTGAAAAACAAAGGGGCACTCATTGAGTTGGTAATTAGGGGAAAAGTATGAACCAAGAGATTCTGCAGCATAAAGGTCTTTCCCTCACTGCTTTTTAAAGAAACTGGCCAAGGTATTTCTCTGGAAATTACTGCTCTGTATATTAACGTACATCCTCTTCATAACTGAGGCTTAAATTAAGGTGTACACTGGCACAGCCCAATTAAAGGCAAACACAAATTACTGATTTTGGGCTTGAGGCATACAAGGATATATGTGAGTTGCCCAGTGCTGAATGCTCACAGGAATGACTTTATTGTCCTTTAGGAGATGTTTGAGGACAGGGTCCTGGTGCAGTATGGCTCTGGAGTATGTGCAAGGTGCACCTTTCTCACCTTCCAGTTCCTTACCTGGTGGCCAACTTCCCGTCATGAGCAAACCACACAACGGATCCGAGATGTGCATGAATGAGCCCCTGTCATTTCCCCACAGGGTCAAACATTTTCCTTTCACTTCTTGTACTACTGATTGGTTAACTCTGGGAATTTGAATGCCTGGATCCTGCAGAATGGAATTCAGCAGCTTTCAGAGTCCAAGTGAAACAAATGGTACTTTTTTTAGCTATGCAGCTATTATTTATGTAAATTCCAATGCCTGTCCATTAAATGTGAGCAACTTAGCCATACTTCTCAATTTTTAACTTACATTTAGAGTAGAAATAACTATGATAACTACTAGAAAGGGTTGTTTTCTTTAATGGTATCTTACCCTTTTAGAACATTTGTTTCCTTTACTTCATTTCTCATTTCTTACTACTTTTCCACAGATCCACTCAATGCCTTAACAATGTGCTACTAGCATGATAGTTGCTACTTTGACACTCAACTTTCTTCATCCTCATAATCCTACTGCGAAATGGGAGCAAAGAGACTGCTGAAGCAGAAGCAATGTTGGTTTCCTCCTGCTCATGGCCCACACTCTGCTGACCTGATCGAGATGTCAGGCAGAGTGAAATTACTCCAGATGCAGCCAGAGCTTTTTCAAGGTTTTCCTGACTACACACTGGAGATGTATTTACAGTCAGGTGTCTTGGTTGAAGACAGTGGTGGATTTTTTTGCAGTATTCCTGAAATCTGTGTTTACAGGCTGTGATGCCCAGAAGAGCTTCAAGGCTGTTGTGAAACTATCTTGCTGTGTTTTGTGATCTCTGGCATTCAATTTACAGATGTTTTTGATGTAGGTAATTGCTTTGATGGATATGCTCTTGGATTTTGAAGTAGAATTCAGGAGGGCTTGATATTTGTTAGGCTTTACAGATGTTTGGTTTAAGCAGAGCAAAATTACATTGCACGACATAAATCCATTGCTATGTTTGTTTTTCACTCACCTACATGTCTTGATGACAAAGAAGGTGACAGCTCTGCCTCCTAGCAGGGCAAATAACTGATCTAAGCCTGTGTTTTAACAGTGATCCATCGCGTATTCTTGCAAAAAATTAGTGCTAGATCTTGTAAATGTGCTGTAAATCTTTTTAGTGTTATCGTTTTGAAAACAGATGGCTCATTGTAATGCTTGTCAACATAAAGCTGCATAGCTCTTCTAGGCTAGAAATAAAAGACACGGGTATTGCGTGAATTACCCTTGTGAGGCCTGTCAGGTGCTTTTTGGTTACCTGTCACTGCACTTGGTCCTCGCTCAGAAGCAAACCTCCCAAATCTGTTCTACTGCTGGTATTTTCTGTGTCATATATTAAAGTCTGTGGTGCACACTTTGCTCCTTCCAAAACTGTTTTGTCCATGAAAGTAGGCTACTAGCCCAACATCTCTAGATTTAGCAGATCTGTATTAGAACAAATATCGTGAACGTGGTGACTGTTTTCCTTCAGGTAACTTAATTTCTGTGTCTAAACCTTATTTACTTAATCAATGCTGAGCGTAATGACGTAAGTCAATCATAAGTAAACTTTCCAGTGGCGATTCAGTGTCTGAATCAAGTGCAATTGGTATAAATAAAAACTTCATGCATCAGGCTCTCAATATCTATTTGTGATGCCATGTTAAGCTGAATTTCTAACAGCTCATTGGGAAAGTATAAGATGATATATGGTCCAATATGGCTGCTAAATTCAGTTGTAAAGGGTTTTTTTCCAAGCAAAAAGGAGGTGTAAACAGGGAGTAAATTATTGAGTTTGATAGGATCTACTAGTAATAGTTCTTTTTCCAGTTGGTAAAACAAAGCTTTGCCCTCTTTTTTTGTGGGAGACATAACCTCACATCATGTATTCCTGTGAAGTCAATGAAAACATGCAAAGGATAACAAGTTTGCCACAGACATTTATTAACTCCTTAAGTTATGAAGTTTTTAGTGGTCTTTTTCTACTTTATGCACTCATTCAATAGCTATGTGCTGTTTCCAAATTCAGGTGAAAAGGTCTTTCACTCAACCTAATGTTATCTGGGAACATCATATTTTGAATTCCCAGTGATCTCCTCTCTACATCAATAAAACATCCATTTAATTTTACCCTCTCACTTAAGAATAATTCACCAGTTGCTAATCTGTTTGTAAGGAACATGGAGAAAAAAGATCTGATAGGTTCTTGCCAGATGTCCCCATGGATTTTGTAAAATTGTATGGATTTTATGGGAGCATATTAATCTTTGTAAAATATGCGTGGGTACAAGCACAACAAAAAAGGTGCAGTGGAAAGATAACAGTGCTCATGCACTATGAATTTTTTCCATGCAATCAATGCAGATTACTGACATACTTTTTTATATTCAGCAAGAACTTTGCTAAATTGATGTTTTATTATTCCTCTGACTTCATAATCCTTTCTTCTGATTCAGGTTTAGCCAAATCATCTTTGAGTTTTTATAATGAAAAACACCTTTAAATGACAGACTGCAGCTTTTCAGCAGAAGCAGGCTGGGAATACAGCCACACAGGACTTCAGTTTGATAGCACAGAAATGAGTGGTAATCTTGGTCCCCATGGGAAATGTTTCTTATCAAGGAAAGGAAAACAGAAAGCATGTTGTCTGGAGACCTTCTAGTTGCGGTAGTGTAAATTTGTTTGGATTTGGAAGCAATGATTGGGAATACGCCCCAGACTGTAAACATACACCTGACATTGGCCACAAGAGGGATGATGAAGGGGGAAAGCCTGCAGAGACACCTGTGGATGGGTGTCAGCCCTTCAGACAAGTCTGGGGCCATGTAATAACGGTTCTCCTCAACAGTCTGGCACTCTAATACACTCCTCAATCTGATTTTCTCTGCAGCTGCCTCCAGAGCTGTTTGGAGGAAGAAATAGTGATGAAGGCCTGGGGATGGCCAAGGAGGCTTGGAGGAGACAGGAGCCAGTGGCCATACTTTTAGGCAGGGAATATGGCAGCCCTGGGTCTAATGGAGAGTATGTGAGGAGATCCGGAGCGGGATTTCTGCTCTCTGTGGGCAGGTTGGGGGCCAGGGGCTGGAAGTACTGCCTGTGTAGAGGAAGGTAGAGAAAGAGACTCACTTGCAAATGCGGAGCACCAAGGTTAGAAATAATATCCAGGAAAAGCTTCTTGGACATGCTGAGTCAGAGTGAAGGAGCTGTACATGCAGTGGGAAATAAGACAGCAGGGGGGCATCTTCAGTCAGAGCCAGAGCTATGCTGGGTGAAAATCCCTTCAAAAAAGGATGCAGGTCTCTCATCTTCCTCCCCAAATGTCACATGTTAACCCTGTGCTTGACTACACAAGGATGCAATGCTGCCTGGGCCCAGACAGTCACTCCCACCTGTGTGGTGGCCTGGTCTCTGCACTGTGTGGCCACCCAGGACCAGGCTGTGCTGGGGCTGGCTTTTCCTGCACACTGCTACACCTCAGGCACCAGAGAGTTAAAACTTGCTGTGCAACTGAGAAGCATTGTCTTTCCCTTCTACTGTTTGAGCTACCCCTTTTGTGACAGGTAGCTTAATTCATAGTAAATTGATAATGTATATAAATACATGTATATTCATCCAGACTGGAAAACTAACGAAGTTACTAGAACATTAATAGCATCCTAGATTTACTGGTCTTTGCTGAATACACCAATCATGATCATTATCAAATATGTATAATTGTTGCCTTGTTCTTCTTACCTGTCTCTCGAAATGCATTTTAGACACCTATAAATAATATGTTTTGCTTTTTGTTAGCCTACTAATTTTAGGGTCGTATACATATTCACAATATAATGAAATATAATATCTCTGCTGAATAGCAGCATATTTCTGGACTTCAGAGGAAAAGACCATCCTACAGAATATAAGATACACCTAACACTGTTTAGTTGGCCCTGCAGGGTTGAGGCAGCCCCACAGTGTGCAGAATAGTAACTCTCCCAGAAATGACAGTTCAAAGACCAATATCGAGTTCCCAAAAGAAACTCTACTTTCAAGAGGGGCTTTAGTTGTATTAAGAGAGGATTTGCATGCAAGCTCTCCTTCTGTTTACTATTGCCCTTTTAAAGAAGCAACAGGACTCTCTCTGAACTGTTCCTCAATGAGTCCATGCTTCTGACCTTGTGTGTAAATTAACAACTAGGCCATGTATGACAAAACCCCCTGATTTTTCCAGTTGCTGTGATATTGTATATCTTGCTTGTTTTGGCAATCTTTTACCAGTGTCTCTCTGTAGAGGTTTCCACAAATTTTCTGCTGATACTTTCCTCACAAACATTAC